GGAAGTGGGGGCTGGTGAGACCTGGGGTACCCGGCCCGCCGCCTTCACTGAGCTTGCCCCATCCTCAGGGCCTTTCTGTGGGCGGCAGCTTTGCGGGCTTGGAGTGTGAGCTGCCGCAGGAGCCGCGGAACGCAGAGCTGGGGGCTCCCAGCTCGTGGGCGGGGGCGGCGGGGCTCCGAACTCAGTCGGCGCACATCCCAGTGCCAGTGCAGAGGTGAGCGGGAGAACCGGAGTCCGAGACTCGGTGGGCGATGCGCACTTGCGTCGAGGTGTGCAGTGGCGCGGGTGGGTGCAGGCACGTGCCTTCCTGCGCCTCCCCTCAGGAGGCCTTTGTAGAGGGTGGCTCAGGGTCCTAGCTGTTTAAACCTCCCAGCTCTCCAGCCCCGGAGGGCTTGGGCAGAAATGAGCAACGTATCTGGGTCCCTTATTCTCCCCCTGCTCCTGGGCCCCGGAGCGAAGGACTGGGAGGGTGGGGCTGTCCGTTTTTGTGAAGAGGCTGCCAGTTATCAGACTGACTGTCCAGGAGTCCCTGGGGCTCCTGACCACCACCTCCTCACCCCTGCCGTGCCCACGCATGGGGCTGACTGTGAGGGCAGGGGCAGGCTCTGGCCTGACTCGCTGGGGCCTGGACCCGCTTGTGCTTTGAGCCCAGTCTCCCCCGGCTGCTCCCGCCCTCCCAGGCCTGGCACGAGGCCCACAGCTGCTGTTGCACAACCCTGGTTAATGTGTGATGGGGGGAGGGCTGGGTTCGGCCTGCCCCTCTGTTGGGGCTTCAGGCCCCTGCTCTGCACCAAGGCCTGAAGGAGCCACACTGAAACAAACCCCAGGCTGGAGATAACTCTGGCTTTATCCAGCCCCGGGCCTGTTTCTGGTGGTTCCTGGCCATTTTCAACTCTGCAACCCGAGCTGGGGGAGGAGCCAGGCCGCCCAACCGGCACTGGAAGTCAGGCAGCCTGGTGTGCGCACACGTGCCCGTGCCTGCACGTGGACCCCGCAGAGAAGGGACCCAGAATGCCTCTGGGCCCCACCCACACCCTGCCCCATCTCCAGAGCCGTCCCGAGTGCCCGGCTGGACGAGGTCATGGCTGCCGCAGCCCTTACAAGCTTGTCCACCAGCCCGCTCCTGCTGGGGGCCCCCGCTGCAGCGTTCAGCCCAGGTGAGACTGAGGTCTGCACTCAGGGCTGTGGGTGGGGCAAGGCCCCAGCCTTCTGGCCTCTGTGAACTATTCCCCTGCATTTGGCGGGCCACATCAGGCAGCTCCTACCCCACATGGGACGCCTGTCTGCCCTTTCCTGTGCTAGGCTGCTCCTCCCGGCCAGCTCCTCCAAGAGGCTCTGCCCATCAGGCTCACCTGGGCATAGGTAGGCGGGCAGGGAGAACTCAGTTAGGAACTCGCTGAAGCCACCGCAAATCCTGAGGGGGCGTGTCCCCACAGAGCCTGGCTTGGAGCCCTGGAAGGAGGCACTGGCACGGCCCCCAGGCAGCTACAGCAGCAGCAGCAACAGTGGAGACTGGGGCTGGGACCTGGCCAGCGACCAGTCCTCTCCGTCCACCCCTTCACCCCCACTGCCTCCCGAGGCAGCCCACTTTCTTTTCGGGGAACCCACCCTGAGGAAGAGGAAGGTGAGCTGGGTGCAGCCCCGGGGGGTAGAAGCGAGGGTACAGCCAAGCTGACCGCAGCCCCTGTCCTCCAGAGCTCGGCCCGTGTCATGTTCCAGTGTCTGTGGAAGAGCTGCGGGAAGGTGCTGAGCACGGCATCCGCGATGCAGAGACACATCCGTCTGGTGCACCTGGGGTGCGGTGGGGCCCGGGAGCCGGCGGGGTGCAGTGGGACCGGACACCCCATCAGCTCCCGGCTGTGTTCCCAGCAGGAGGCAGGGGGAACCAGAGCAGAGTGACGGTGAGGAAGACTTCTACTACACGGAGCTGGATGTGGGTGTGGACATGCTGACGGACGGGCTGTCCAGTCTGGCCCCAGTGTCCCCCATGGCCTCCGTGCCACCTGCCTTTCCCCGCCTGGAGCTGCTGGAGTCCCCAGCCCCTGTCCTGAGCTCTGCAGCCCCTCCCCAGGTGTGCCATGGTGACCACGCCTACCAGGTGGGCGAGGCCCTGGGTGGTAGCTGGGAGCGGACCTCAGCACACTCTGGAGGGGAGCGAAGCCCTGGCTGTGTTTTCCCCCGTGGCTGCCTGGCACCTGGCCGTCTGGAGCTACAGCCCCCCGAAGCTGGAGCCTGCATGCCAGCCCTGCCCTCCAGGATTGGTGTCCACCTGAGGTGCGTGGGGGTTGAGGGCTAGGGCAGGCACCAGGCGGGGAGGGTCAGGCCTCATGGCGCCCATGCTCTGTGTCTCCCAGAAAGCCCCGTGGTGATGCCAAGAAGTGCCGGAAGGTGTACGGCGTTGACCACCGGGATCTGTGGTGCACGGCCTGCCGCTGGAAGAAGGCCTGCCAGCGGTTCCTGGACTGAGCCCACCAGGCCTTGACTCCACAGGACAAAATAAGCTACCGTCTTCTCTCCCCAGCCCCAGCCAGGGGCCGAAACAGCCTTGGGGGAGCCCCAGACCAGGCCTCTCCAGACTGCAGGGTCGACTTGCAAAGGGGGTGGGGGAGTTGGTGACCCTGGACCTCGGAGGTGGGGGAGAGGTCCCCCCCCACTCAAAGTGCCTCTGAAGAAACCAGCTTTTTGCACTAAAGCCAAACCACACCGCTGTCCTCTTGGCCCCAGGGGGCAGCCACCCTCCCTGCCTGTCTGGCCCAGACTTGTCAAGGATGTTCTGGGCCCAGATTTGGGGGCCAGTCCCGATGCACTTTGAGGGGTGTCAGGGAGGTGACTCCCCTGCTCGCACTTAACTCAATGGTTCCCGGGCCCTGGGGCTGGTGTTTTACCATGTTTTTGAAGCTCAGGTGTCTCACGTCTGGGCCATTCCAGGCGAGGAGAAAAATTAAAGATTTGAGGTTTTTCCAGAAGTCGTGTCTGCCTCCTGGGAGTAGGGACATAGGAGGGGGACCCAGTGGTGGGCAGGATGTGGGAGGCCAGTGACAAGCCACAAAGAACTGGGGGACACCCTCTGCCTGCCCCCACCCACCATGGGCCCACAGGAGGGGACGCTGTCTGAAACATACAGGAGGCATCTGCTTGGAGCAGCAATTTCCCAATTTATTGAAAGTGATCGCTTCGCAAGAATGTCTAAGCTAATCTCGTCACAGAAAGGAAACCCACAGGCAGGCCTGGACCACGCCTAGGCAGACACGATACCTCAAGACCCACAATAGAGAAGGCAGTGTTGACCTGTCCCGTGGCTACGGAGAAGCAGGACTACAGAGCCGTGATTTCCCACCGACTGTTTACAAAAAGTCTCCCCAAATATGAACACATCTCCAATACAAACACAGGTTTATAATAATTAATATAAAGTCATAATATAGATTATCCCCAGGGAAAAAAATCAACAATCTTCAAACACTGCCCTTCTTTTTTTGTCTGTTTTGTTTTTGTTGACAGGTTGAAAGCATGTTGAAAAAATAAATATTTAAGAAAAGCACACACACAGCACCCTCACTACAAGTAGCTCTAAAAGGGCTGCATACAAAACACAATATAGGATCTAAAAAATAAAAAACAACAACCATTAAGTATGGCTTTCTTAGTTGCACGTGTCACAGAATGAGCTAAAATAAGATTATCTTTCATAATATTGCAAAAAGTTCCAGTTTTTGCATTTTCTCAGTTTTTTTTAAAAAGGAAGATGTGCAAAGTTGGAAGCAGTCAGCTGTGTCCTTTGAGTCAGGTCCCTACTCGTCCTGGCAGTGTCGTTTCCAAGTGTACAACCTGATCAGGATCCAGAGCTTGATACAAAAGTCATACGGCTCCCGCCCACCCGCCCCGAATGCACTACCCCGAGGACTCCATGTTCCACTTTGGTGTTACAAACACCAAAATACAAAGACAAAAAAAAAAAATACAAAATGTGAAATGTAATCTACACATTTTTCCTCCATAAAAAAATATTTATTAGTTTGAACATTGATTAAAAAAAAAATCAGTCACGTAAAAAAAAACCCTTCATGACATGATGTCTTCTCCCTCCACGCCTCCCGAGGGGTGTGTCCACCTGGTCTCTGAAGTCCCATGCTCCAATCAGCAAGCTGTGCACCAGACAACGCACCTGCCGCCAGCAAACATCCAGGGAAGCCAGACAGGAACGGGGACTCTCGGTTTCCCGGCACAGTAATGGTTTTGAGAAAGAAAATGCCCAGTGGCACTGATAAGGAACCCCCAAAAAGGTCAGCAAAGGCGGGCCGTGGGAGCAAGCGGTCGGAAAGGAAAGGGCAAGACATCCTGAGTGTGGAGGCGGAGGCACCCATGGGGGACCAGGGTGGTGGTGGGACGGCCTGAGAGGCACTGGTACAAAACCCAGAGACACTCGTGGTAGCAAAGGTCTGGTTTCCAAATGCGTCTTATAAGAAAGTGTTTAGAAAAGGGGTCTAAAAAGTGGGGGAAAGTACAAAGTTCTGAGAGCCCAAGGGGCTGGGCAGGGCCCCATGGGTGGGGGGCTCAGTGGTACTGCCTACCAGGAGGCTTGTCCTGAAGCCGCTCACGAAGCAGAGTACCAGTGGGCAGCGCTGAGCCTGCCCTGGCTCCACACTCCTGCATCCCAGCTGAGGGTACAAGCATGCAGCCCAGACAACAGTGGCCAGGGTGCCTTGGCACAGCTAGGGACGGTGGCTGATGTGGAAGCCATGAATTGTCCCTGTCGCACGGACCCCCCACTCACGCACATGGCCAGTCCTATCCTCCCAAGCTGCAGCACATCAGAGGTGCTCAGGGTGTGTGATGGGGTTACATGCACCACCTGACAAAGCCACTGTGGCCTGCAGTCTGGAAAGCAGGAGAGTAAAACCGGTCTCTCCAATTGTGCTGACACCCAGGGCCCCAGGAGGCCTTGCATAGGCGGGCAGGTGGTAGGGGGCGGCCAGCCTGCCTGGCTTGCACCAGAAGCACATGCCTGAAGTGGCTGATTCCAGTGAGGGGTGGTGGAATGCTTAGTGCTGTCACAGACAGAACACGGCTGCGGCATCTGTCCCGCAGGTATGAGTGTGGGCACCTGCCTGGGACCCTCAGGACCGGGCAGGGTGCCCCACACACAGGATGGGACCTCTGCTTTTCACCCAGAAAAAAAAGAACACGTGAGCGCCTTTGAAAATATAGCAAGAGGACTTGACCACAAGCATAAGGAAAAACAACTCCATATAGTTTTGTCAAGTGAGAAAAATAATGCCAAACAAAATCATCTTATGTAATGACCTCAATGTGTCTCTGACTACTTCAGAATTTGGTTACCCGCGCGGGGTGTGAGCAGCACACTGCAGCCGGGGACACCCACCTCCAGTGTTAGCAGCAAAGGCAGACACCCGGCAGGCCATCCAGAAGGGGCAACAGGAGCGCCGGGCGTGGGCACAACAGGGCGGCAGCGGAGGGCGGGCGGCCAGGCCCTCCAAGGAAGTGCACACAGGGAGAGCCCGGGGTGGGCCTGAGGTGGGCCGCAGGCGGGAGTCCGGAAGGAACTGCCTCGCCCCAGGGCCGCGGCCGCGGGATAGCACCTGAGCCCTGGCCTGCAGCGGGTCCTGCAGCGGTGTGTGAAGCACCAAGCCCAGAGGTAAGAGGGTCATGCGGTCTTCTATGCACAGCACCTGGGCCCACAGGCGGCCACGGCGGCAGCCACAGGCAGGGACAGGGGAGGACGGAGGGGAGAGAGCGGGCTTCCCGCAGAAGCTGTCTGCGAAACTCGGCACCTACTGAGACCCGCGGCCTCTGGGCCTCACTCATGTCCCTGGCCAGTGCCCACCCGGCCACTCACCGGGCCATCGTGAGGCACGGCCAGGCTGGCCCCGCTCTGCGCCCTGGAGGAAGCGCCTGCGCTGGCTGAACCGCCCACATCTGCACCCCCTGCCGGGACTTGGGGCCAGGCTCCCGCTTCGCTCAAAACCACCCCGCGCCCACCCCACCCCAGTCACTCCGCATTTGGTCCCAGCGCTGTCCGCTCGCGGGTGACGCCCGCTTCTCCGCCCGCGGGGCTGGTTTCTGGGGATCTGACACAGGAGGGGCCATGGGAGTGGCCAGCGCGGCCCCGCC